AGCCTTTTGCTTTTTCTTTTGTTTTTATATTGTATACTGCAAATGCTTTATTTCAAATACATCACTTTTTAAGCACCTAAAAATTAACTTAGAGAGCAACATCTGGAGCTCCGATTGTTGAACTTGAATTCAACACTTGAATGACAGCTGCTGGCGGATCAGAACTCCAAATAAACACGATGAAAGTGAACAACTGTGTCAGAGGTAGATTTCATATCCATTGAACAATAAGGCTACAGCCAGTTAGGTTAGCATAAAGGCTGGAAACCTCTTTCTTTGATCTGCTCAAAAACACGTCTGTCAATGCTGACACGATTTACAGTGCACCATCTAATCTGAAATAGGAAGTTCAGAAGACATTTTTTTTCCCATAAAGGAAAAAAATACTATTTTATAAAATATATATATGTGAAGGTAAGCAATGTCACTTTTATAAAATTGTCTTATTTTAATCTAAAATAGAAAATAAAATATAATAAAATCTACATTAAATAAATGTCAATAATGGTACTGCATCGCTTTGATTTGTATTGCAGTGAATCTAACTAAATTGTTCTATATTAAAATGCATTGTACCTGAGTCATATAGCCCATGTATCTAGTTACGTATCGGATCGTCTTCAAAGGGAGAGATTCAAACCCCTATTCAAATACCTAACTTGGTATCAAAATCAAATCACAATGGCAAGAGAAGCGGGAGACATATGGATTATGTATTAGGTACTGTCACTATTAAAGAATGACCAACATTTTACTTCTGTATATTGTACGAACATGAGCTTGAGATTGGAAGCATCTGTGGGTATTTATTCAGGGTGGTTTTCAGAATGAAATACTTAAGATGGCCCCAAAAATAGCCTGACATTGGTCTCGGACATTTCTCTGGGGAGTGTATAGCGGCATATCTGTGCCTTAAACCCTTAGTATTCCCTGTAGCCTCCAGAAGAGACTCTGCACAAAATATCTGCATGTGGTTCCACTCAGAGCATAATGAGTGTGATTTACCCACGACACGATAGTTGAGGAAGGCTGAACAGCTTGGTTTTTAAGCACCCTCCTCTCACCTCAACACATGGTCTCATTCTATATATCTGCTGGCTGAGAAACTGCTTTTGGGCTTTAACCCCCACAGGATGCATACATGAGGAAGCAATACTCTCTGATCAAATGTCATTTCCGTGATGAATTTTATCCAGATTCTTGATGTATGTTGCAATACATGTTTTGCATATTATTATACACACGATACAAGATAAAGCTGGGCCATCATTAGTGTTCTAGGGTCTGACGTTTTCTTTTGCACTTCCTCTGCCTTCCAGTCATGATTAGTGTAATGTAGAGTTTCCTGTGCAAAAGAAAAAAAAGCAACCAGACAAACTCACAGGAGGCATTCGTAAACATATCTGATGTACAACAGTCCAAACTGCGGTGAAGGTGTGGTGTGAAAACAATTCCAACTAAAATTACAGCGTGATTTAATCTGGATTTCGATCACAGTCCTTAAACATGTAGGATCGTAAACATGAAATGTGCAATCAGATTAAAAGTGTAGCCTTTTGTATTGTGTATCTACACTCATACCACCAGCTCCTGTTCTACTTTTGTTTGACAGGATGAAGACATTAAATGTCTCTCTTGTCTCCTCTGGGAAAAGCAATGTTTGGCACTTCAAAATATCCAAATTTCATGTTCAACAAACGATCTACGATCAGTCCTGCTGAATATGAGCTCCAATGTCGGCAAGATCTGCACCCTCTGGCAAATTTCTTCATTGGCAATGAGTGGGAGAGTGACTGTGTGGACTTTTCCAAGCATGGGAGTGTTGGCACTGACCAGATGGATTGCGTCGTGAATTGAAATGTAAGCTTGTGAAGTCCAGATGTCTGTCACGGATCAGGCATTCTCTATATGCTGTTAGTCTTAACAGAGAAATACCAGAAGTATTTTTTTAATAAAAGCTGATTGGAACACATGATCTTTAAGGTTTCCATGGAGAAGAGGAAAACATTCCCAGGGCACACACTATATGCGGGGAATGAGTGTAAAAAAAAGGCTTATGACTGCTCTGACGATTTACAGCCTGCCATTGTGAACCTAGCAAATCCTGGACTGTTCTGCACACTGTAAATCCAATTTTATTCGAGGAAGTATGCGGTTGCTGTCAAATATATCTGCAGAGTTATAACTCATTTCACACAAAGCAGGGACCAGGTAAAGGTGTTGCATAAATGTTAGTGACATACTACTGCAGGTCAAGTGCACAGATTTGCACATGAATGAACACTTGACGTTGATGCTTTACAGATCACACATTTGGTCTTATTGGGCACAGTACATCACATGTGAGAAAAATCACAAACTATCACCCTCATCAACAACTTTTTTCTTTTAGTCTTGTCAGCTGTGCAAAGTGAATGTAAAAAGTTATTCCTGCAAATGACATATGCAATACAAATCACTGCATGCACAGTACCATCGCCGGGCTACTTATGTTATGGTGAGAAAGCTGTCACGGCTGATTCCATTATCAACAACTAAGCTTGTGCCAGCTGCCATGCTTGACTAGACCAGGACCAGGTCCAGATCCACGAATGGCATCTTCTCACGCAAAGACAAATGAGTAGCTGTCAAGCTGTCAGCTCCACAGCGGAGACCTTCATGTACAGAAATGCCGTCAGATGGGGCCTCTTGTTCATCAAGTTTAAAAATGCGCCAGTGTTTTGCTTTTGCCCGCTTTTCCCTTTTGTGAGTGCACTCCACAACTTCCTGTCAGATGAGTGACGAAGTGACCCAGACTAAAAAAAAACCTTTAAACTGAAATGGGGCAAAAAGGGAAGGCATTGTGTATATGATAGCAGAGAAAAGCATGCAATACGGCTACAACACAATTTGATTAAACATTTATTAGATTTTCTCTCTAGACATTTTTTTTTAGTGTGACTTTTATTGGCAACAAATAAAAACAGCTTTCAACTCAATGTTCAACAAAGTAAGAACCTCTAGTATGGGAAATGTTCAGTGTGTCTCTCACAATACATTAACCCAAATATGATGCTATATTTAAAGTACAAATCACTTTGAAAGCCCTTGTTGAATAGTTGTGGGAAATATGGTTGTTTCCTACAGAGTTAAATGAGATGACTAATAACACTCTTATGCCACTATGTTAAAGAGTAAGCTGGTTAGCTTAACTTAGCATAAAGACTGCAAACGGGGAAACTGTACTTAGGTAAGAAAATCCCCTTCCAGCACTTCGAAATTAACACGTTATATCTTGTTTGTTTAGTCCATACAAAAAACAAAGAGTAAAAATGACAACTTGTTGTTTTAGAGGTACTGGTCGTCAGATTTTGTTGGCTTTGGACAGAGCCAGGTTTCTTTATTCTAAACTAAGCTAACCATCTCTGGACTCTTAACAGAGTGGTATCAATCGCATCATATTGCTACATAGTCTACATACTTGTAGCTTTAAAATGTGTATTAAGTTAGCATTGTAACTCAGATGAAAAAACAATGTGCTGGCAGAAACCTTGGCGTTCACATTATATGTGAACACGTTAAACCTGCAATGACTTTTATTTTTCTGCCACTGGGGGGCAGTGAAAAGTTGAAAAAAATTGATCATCTCACATCATCAAGTTGATGTATTAAACAGTTGCTATTTACTCATCTAGCAGTTACAGATAAACATATTCACTCTCTTTTAGTTCTCTTGTTGGTCTCCTGAGGAAAATATCTGGCTCTTTAGCTGCTAAGTGTTGACAGCTAATCATAGTAAATTGTGTCTGTCTGCCATTTGGTGCTGAGCAGATGGTGTACAGTGGCTTTTTCAAGAGCTTTTTCGCTGAAAACAACTATCTGCTGCAGTTGAAAACAATGCTTGAGAGCAATGAGACTGAACCAGAACAGTAAAGTTGTTGAGCAGCAAATTTTGCTAATAATTCTTGAGCGACCTTGTTGTTTTCATCGGGTCAATCAGGTGAAAATCATCTTAAAAGAAATAACTGCCAACAACTAACTATGCAAAATAACTTCTCATTTAGTAAAGGTAAAATGCAAAGTGGGAATAACCACAGAGCAATCACAGCTGCAGTTGTAGAGCTGATCAGACCAAAGAAGGAACTGCTCGGTGACAAGAGAGCTCAGCTCCGCAGCAGAGCGCTGGATATCTGAAGTAAATCGCAAAGAAGGCATTTGCTTGATTGTTCTTCTTCAGTGCACCGGCTTGAGTAACAGCGAGATAGCGATCTATTATTTTCTTTTACTGCTTTGAGTCAAACGGAGGGCACTTATTTCCTGTTCTCTACAGTTGGGGGTGCCTCGTGCCTTGTGGTCTGCAAAGTTGACCACAAACTGCATTACAAATAAACCTTTTAGACCTTTAGAGCTGTAACTATTAAAGTAGAGATAATGAACTATAATCACAATTAAACAGCTAAACTAGCCAAAATCATCCAACATTTATGGGTTTACTGCAAAGCCGGTGATCAAATGAATGACAAAAAAGGTTGTCGAGCCTTGGAAGTGTGTGTTTGACATAAGCCAGCATCATTTGACAATAAGAACAGAAGCCAGCAGTGGAAAAGCCTGTCACATTGTTGACACAGTCAGGAGACCGATACAGTTAATGGGTTAACAAGCTTAGTGTAGCTGCTACATTCAACACAACATCAGTGACATAAAAGAATAAATGGTCATCACATACTTTTAACCTTACAAGTAAACAATGTGTGTGTCACATAGATAAGCTTGCAGTCTTAATGCGACATTTTAACATATATTACATGGATTTTACACACTAAAATTAAGGATTAGTTCTTTGCGTATAGTTATACATGTGTGTCTGTGTGTGGGTATGACTGTCGTATGTGTGTGGCTCTATTAGGGTACTGATCCCTGTATGGCTTCAGCGCACAGGCACACTTTTCAACTCCTCCCCTCTGCCTTCAGCCAGGGTGTGATTAGAGCCAATACAATCTTGGGCAACCTGCACTGAGAGAGAGAGAGAGAGCAAAAGAAAGAGTGGACAGCCACTCTGGTGCACTCTGGTGGTTCCAGCATCAGCGTCACTGTTGCTTGATCTCCAACAGCCTAACTGGGGCATTGTGGCTCATGCAAGATTCAGCGAAAAACACAGCAAACTACTCTAATCCCAGTGGACGGATTTAAATGGACAAGGCTGGGCTTTCTTCTCAAAAACTTTTTTTCACTTAATGTTAATGTTTCCTGGATTCATGAAAGTGCTGCAACTCCGTGAACTAATATTGTTTGGACAGTTTTTCATCTTTTTTGAAAACATGTTGCTGTTGACTACACCAGAAGAACTTCCACAAACATTCACGTCTTTGGAAACATGGAAAGCCACTACTGCCTGTTGAACACCAGCCATACAAGACTCCCAAGGTGTGACATGTAAGCAGTGACCACAAATTAAAGAACAACTACTATTTAGTGAGGACAATTTCATCAGCTTTTTATTCTGAGCAGATTTATAATGCTTGTAAGTGCAGACTCGTTAGTTTTGTTAACTTTGACGTGAGAAACACATCTCCAGCTTCTTGTGACCGCGTTGATCCAGTGAATTATGGATGGCAACCTGAGCACTTCAAATGGGACCAACCTCACAGGACACAACTATGCAGCTGGACCCTGGAGCCTCGTCATACTGGTCATCATCATACTGATCATAGTGGTGGGAAACCTGCTGGTCATCATCGCTGTGGCTCGTACTTCGCAGCTACAGACGACGACAAACATTTTCATCATGTCCCTGGGTTGTGCGGACCTCATCATGGGGGTCCTTGTGGTACCACTGGGGGCCACTATTGTGGTGACGGGTAAATGGCTGCTCAGTGACACATTCTGTGATTTCTGGACTTCTGTAGATGTGCTGTGTGTGACAGCGAGCATCGAAACACTCTGTGTCATAGCAGTGGATCGGTATATAGCCATCACAAGACCACTCAGATATAAGGTTCTACTCAATAAGTGGCGTGCCAGAGTAATAGTTTGTTTAGTGTGGGTTGTGTCCTCCTTAATTTCCTTTGTACCAATTATGAAAGGGCTTTGGCGTGATGATGATCCCACAGCAAAGAAGTGCTACGAAGACCCTGCATGCTGTGACTTTGTGACCAACAGGGCCTTTGCTATTATATCCTCTATAGTGTCTTTTTACATTCCACTGCTCATAATGATATTTGTGTATGCAAAAGTTTTTCTAATAGCCACACGGCAAGTCCAGCTCATAGATAAGAATCGCATGCGTTTCCAGAATGAGTATCCAACAGGGCAGATGCAAGTTGCTTCCCACATCAACAATATCATGCCATCGGTGTGTGCAGGCTCCAGCAGCTGCAACAGCGCAGTGCGGAGAAAAAGCGCCAAGCGAAGACCGTCACGGCTAATTCTCGTCAAAGAGCACAAGGCCCTCAAGACTTTGGGCATCATCATGGGGACCTTCACTGTATGCTGGCTGCCGTTTTTCGTCGCCAACATCATCAACGCTTTTAACAGAGGCGTTCCCTCAGAGAGGACCTTCCGACTGTTAAACTGGCTGGGTTACATCAACTCCGGCCTCAATCCTATCATCTACTGCAGGAGTCCAGAGTTTCGTACAGCATTCAAGAACCTGCTGGGCTGTCCGTGGCTGTCCGCCCTGTGGCTCAATACAGTGTATAAAGAGCTGCGGACTCGCTGCTCCTGCTTTCTATGGTCTTCAACCGGTAGGACTGAGGGCAGTCTGGCCAGTACTCAGGGAAGCAACAAAAGTGAGGAGGCTTCCCCTGGTACTCTGCAGTTAAATGGCAGCACTCAGTTCAGTGACTTATCAGAACCAGAAACCCAATAGTAAGTTATTTTGTTTTATCTTATTTTACCTTCACAGTCATTTTTAGAAATATAATTAATGTTTTAAAAAATGTCCACTTCCTACAAACACATAAAAACCTCCACCTTCCCAAGCACAAACAGTGAAACCCTATTTAAAGACTATTAAGTGAATGATTTTGACAGCTAGTGGACACCTGAACACAACAGCATCCTTTTAATAGGCTATTTAAACAAATACATTTTATAATATTACATTATGAAATTTCAGTGCATTTTATCGGAGAGAAACTTTTAAACAAATCTCTATGAAACTGAGAGGACAGTGAGGTACTGTATATCAGGGAGTCCCGTGGCCTCTAGTTTGAAATCTTAGATTTCTTATTCGTCTTATTAGTCTTTGTCCTTTTAATTACGTTTTTCCATTAATTCAATAGACCTACGTGTTACATCAGTGGTCTATCATGTGAGCAGATCATTCGCCCAGTGAAGCAGAAGTGTGAAGGCTTACAGAGTAGAATCAATGTCACGGAGAATCAAACAATTTACATGACTTACCGCTTTTGAACATCCTGCTGCAGATTAACAAAGTATTGCACAATGATGATGGTAAAAAACACGCCTACGCATGTGCACTCTTTTTAGTTTGACAATTAATAGGTGCCAACAAAATAATCCAAAACAAAAGGTCATAGAAAGTGTTATTTATATGTCATGTCTTGACTGAACACTAACATCTTTATCTCAAAGACATTTTCATTTTCAGGGTAATTTAAACCAGTCTGATATTTATGGGATGTCAAACTAATTATAATCCATTCTTTTAATCCGTTATTGACTTGTAAAGGTTTAAACACATCCTCTTGGTATTATGCATACTGTATATGTCCAAGGACTGTACATCAATTTTTGGAAATTTTGAGTTTGATAGAAAACCGTTGTTTTACTGCCCACTAAAAGTAGAAATCCATATTTGGACATGTTCTAATACATCAGTGTGCTGCTGTACAGGAGTAAAATAGATTCTGTGGAACAGTGCAGAAAAATAAATCATTTCTCAAGCATTGGCTGCTGTTGGGGAGATACAATATTACAAAACTAAAAATGAAACACAATATTCAGATTTTTATGCACGATTCAATAAACGTTTGAGGACTGTGCCTGTATCGCTTACTGCACTATGTTACCTGTAATCAATCTTTGAATCCAGCTATTGTTAATGCAGTAAAAATAACTAGCCGATGTCCACAGTTTAGGGTGGTGTACGTTTTTAGCACAGTAGTTAATAATATCATTCATTTAGTTTTTTATAGAAACCTCCGTACTGTAAATGCAGATTTTTTTGGTCAATTTCATTATCATGTATCTAAAAATGGTGTCTCATATTGATAAAGATGACACATGACTCTGTAAAACCACTGGGTAATATGTAAAAGGCTGATTCGGAGAACCACTTGGCACGTTTGAGGACAGATATATTCTCTGAATATTAGTGTGTCTCTGTGCCTGTCAGTGGGCCTCAGTGGGCCCTGCCCAACACACCCTGCAGCAGATAAATCTTTATCGCTTATGCACAAGACTTCCCCCATAACTGGAGAGGCTGTTTACAAGACTGGCAGCCAATGAGAACACTCTTGTTAACACAAGTTAACTGGGGTTGGACAGCTCAATATTTGATTCATTATTTTTCTAAGACACCACTATATGCTGACAGCAGGCCTGTCGCAGAATACAGGAAGATATATATTACACAATTATGAGTTATTAGCATAATTGGTTGTTTCTAGAAAGTATATCTATTAAGTAAAATTCTGGCTATCTCTGGTTTAAGAATTTTGCAACTTACATAATTAACTTAAAATATTTGCTGTAAATTTCTGAATTTGACTCACTTGAGGCATTTTGTTTTGAAGTGAGTTCAATTCAATAAATTCCAATAAATACATTTTGTAATTATTGTCTTCAGAAATAAAAATAAGATTTGAAATTCAATTCCTAGAAAGCTTTCTGTCTGTTACATCAGATCCACAGTATTACAGCAGTACAGGTTAAAAAGCCAAATATGATAAAGAATATAGTTTCACTAATAAGTATGATTGTTGAAAATGTAACAACTTATCATAATAATTCATATTTAATCAATCATGTGTCATAATGGAAGGTTTTAAGGGCTGTTGTGCTGTCACAAATTTAAATTGTATCTTGTTTGCATGAGTTTCTGATTAAAATCGATACATTTAATTTCAGTCAAGCACATACATATGCAAAATGAGTTGTTCATTTCTAGAACATAAAATTTAAATTCACAACTCATAATTCAATTTCATTTGACACAACTCTCACTTACACCATAGCCTTCGCCATTCTCATGAGTAACCCAGTTTTATGTTTCATTTTAAATATTTACTTTGCACACTATATATCATTTTCTCTTCTCTGTTCCTCTCAGTGGAATTTTACAGGCATAATCAATGGGGCAGTAAACCGGCAGACATTTAGAAGGATATAAAAGTCTTCCTTAAAAGGAGCTTGGTGTGTTCTGTAGTAAATCACCCCAAGGGGAAGGCTCAGCGGACTCACCCTGCGCTTTGAGCAGGATTACAAACCTAAGTGAGACCAGCCGTTCAAGAATGACTCTGGTGGGGCCAAGGCTCGAAGACAGGTTTAATGAAGGAATATGACAAACGGTTCCAGGTAGAGTCTGGGCCTCTGAAGTGGTTAGTTATTGCCAATAATGCCATGCTAGGCATCTGCTGGAGATCATGCACTCCTCAGTCAACTTTCTATATCTACTAGCAACACAAAAGAGCAATTGAGGAGCACATTTTATTTAAACCCTGGGACAACATGCAACTGTAGGTTTAGTTAAGTCAGGAGCTGGTGTATCCCAGGGCTGATAAAAAAGAGAGGTACAACCACTGGCATGAATGGTTACTAGGGAAGAGTGGCTGCACTGCACAGACTGGGCATTATCAATATTTTGTTTTCATGGAAATACATGGAGGCATATCACTGCTGCCCTTATCAACATCCACAGCAGCCTTCAGCTTCTGTCACGTATGCACCAGGTTATATGAAGTGCAATATTTCATTCTCTGCCTGACAGAATTTTTAATTAATCTTTAATGATCATAAACTTAGACGTTTTTGGTCAGTGGAAGTGAAGGCAAATGAGTTGTGCAGACATTTTTTTCACAGAATGACTTTGGGTTCAGCTGTGTCTTCCTTTGTTTTTGCCAGTCATGTTGCTCTAAAGTGAGACCGGCTGCTACTGCATTAGTCCTAATATGTGTATCAGAGGTATTTAGGACAAAATCTTCATGTTTTTAAAAGGCATTTTAGTGTGTTATGAGCAGAGTGAGTTTGTTAGCACAGTTTATCCATGATTGAGAACACCAAAATTAAGCTAACAGAGAGTGGAACATTTTATTTCATGGAGAAGCAGCCAACTAGGTTGTGGACTAAATTGCAGCGTGAATGTGGCGCAGTGAACATCACCAGGGCTCTCCTATTGAGCACAGATACGGGACTTAATATTCCAGCAGAGGTACAGCACAGAAATCATATAGGCATGTGAGAGCACTGAACAATAATCATCATTATGGAGCTCATGCTACAGGAAACATGTTGTGTGCTACAGCTGTGCTGCTGCATCACAATTAAAGTATCAAGAGACACATGAGGAAACGACTTGTCAACCTGTTGCTGAGTAACTGAGAAAACAGGTCTAAAAGCTGAAAAAAGATATCCTGCATGGTCATCGAATGCACACTAAATTATTTTCCATCTCAGAAAAAGTAATGGAGGATAAACAAGAATAAGATATCATGTGAAAAGCAGACACTAATGGCACAGGGACTAGAAATCACAGAGGGCGAGCTGTTCAGATTTAGCTCTTAAACAACTCCTTATGGGTCACAACGAGCGACACAGGTGCATAAAAAAACAAATACGGAATATATTTGGATATATGTTCTTATTCTCACCTTGTTAACTTTCAACTGTGGTGAGCTAAAAAAAGCACAAATAACCAGACACATTACACCAAGCACAGAGAGATTACGGAGAGTGTCATAACCAGTATAAATACTTACTTATAAATACGTGGCTCATTACTCCAAATGATCGTGTAAATATTTCAGACATATTAGACGACAACTCATGAGGACAAATCTAAAAGGACATTGTGTTTATAATACTGGCATTTCAGGTTTATAAGTAACTGTGTGTTACTGGAACAAACTGTATCATTATGCCGGCTAAATATGTTGATATAATTGTAATTATGATTATTTCCCACACATGCATGCTGTATCCTCCCAGAGCGCAGTGCTGTATTAATGGACACTTTGTGTAAAAATATAGCGTGCAGTAAATATGGAAGACAATTTAAGAAATGTGTAAACAAATATTTCTAATGTATTGTGTACTGTGCAGGGTAAGTTGTGTGTTTAACAGGAGTTAGTATTGGTGACAGAAATTTGCTGCCCAGCCTGTGATTGACAAAGCTACAAATGTGTGGCAGGTTACAGCTCCATGTGATTTCAAAGCAAGTGCTGGTGTAATAAGTTAAGGCACTGCAGTGAGCATATCATTAGGCGTACATTAGGGCAACCTGATGTTTTGATGGCATTCTAGGTGAGGGCGGTGTGCACTAATGCTTTTTTTCCTGTGCTGTGAACCCTGTAATTCTGAGCTTTTCTCTGCAGCATGCTAACCCAGCTACACACATCAACTTCCATAATGTGCATTTAGTTAGCTTAGAGTGAGATCAGGCCCAAGAGAGCATGAAACAAGGAGCAGGATAAAGCAAAACATGGTGGTAGTGACCTGTGGGAAACCTCCAACACTCCCTTTCAAGCCTGGCTGATATCCGAACCAATCACACTGCATCACGCTCTATAAATGAAGGCATCCGAGAGTTGAGCTAACACTTGAGAGCGGTTTAACTCTAAATTGTTTAGGTTTGGACAGATAAAAAAGTAATAAACCGTAACTGTATTTACTTTCTGCTGTATACCCACAATCAACTACTGCATGTCTTAAACCTTTAGTAACAAGACTGTGTATAACAGTAATTATATTTATGGATAGTTAGAACCAGTTAAATAAAAATATTCATGTTTGATAACATTTACTGTGTTGAAGGCATTTGATAAATCTGGCATTTTTTGCTTAGTCATTTTCTAAACACTGACTTGCTGTATGACTCACTTGTAGTTTAACTTTTAGAAAATTTGAAATAGAGTTTTACATTAAGATCTAAAATCTACATAATGATACATGGAACTTTAACAATTTTTTAATACATCAACATGACAGTCACTTTGTTATACTTTTTATATGTTTGTCAATAAGACTTACAGTTACAGTTAAGTTGCAGTCAGCTGTTCTTAGTTTAATTATATTAAGTTATTCAGGGGTATTTATTTATTGAAACTTGTGTTAAGTTAATTTAAGATTGTTAAAATATTTACTCTGTTGGTAACTGAATAAATTAGTTTAAAGCCTTGCCCTACTTTATAAACCTATTCATGAGGAAAATCATCAGTAGCTGAATCTTGTCGCTGGTTCTACACTCAGTTTGTTAGGTACAACGAGCTAAAACTAATGCATTTTAATGACAAAATGACTTTATATCAGCTATAGTTGTATAGTAGTGGTGTTGTTGAATTGTATTGCATTGGAGAGGTATTCTTAATAGGTATTTTACCCATGGGGTACAGCTTCCCAAGTTAATGCAACATCTCTATCACTTTCAACTAAAACTGAACATTATAACTTTCATTAAGGATTCATTGCAAACATTGTTTTTCTGAATGTACACACACACACACACACACACACATACACACACAGACCCACACACACATATATGTATTAAAAATCATGTTAACTAGGCTAAATGATTTCTAATTACATACCCCTTCAACAGGTACATCTCAAGACAGAAAATACACATGTCACAGATGATGGATGAATTTTCCTTTAACCTTGATGAGCTTAGCTTCTTTAACGTGAATGGAGACTACAGAATATGTGCAAGCTATGTCTGTGGTTTGTGATTTAAAATAATCCAACAACGCGTGTGTGAATGTGAGATTCAACAGAATGTATAACATAATATTATTCCTGGAGTCTTTTCCCATTAAATCATCCAAATGCATCAGTTTAAACTGGGATGAGGCCACACTGTTAATTGTTCCCTGCATATTTTTTTGCCCGTATGCATTCACTTTTCTATGAAGCTTACAGTTCCAGGTAATTTATGTCATCCTGTGGAGACATGTACAGTGGACGCGATAGCATCAGAATTCCTGTCTTGTTGGGGAGAAGGTTTCACAGGAGTTTCACAAAGGATAAAGAGATGATGGCAAATTTGCAACAGCTTTCCGTAATTAGCAAAAAAAAGAGAAAAGGAAATGAAAGGGAACAGGTGCAGAGATGATATCAATGCTGTTTTTTCTAACTGCAACATACTTATAAATAACCTGCAAGACAACAAACCGTCGTTGTTGTCTTGGAGATTTCTTATCTGATAGAAACTGAAATGCTATGCAGGGTGTGACCGGCACAGACCAACAACTCCTCCAGTAACACAGAAAAAAACACATTTGTTCACATGTCATAGAGCAGCACACCAAGTCAAAGATATAATGAGATAGCTAACTGGCCTCAGTGTCTGGTACTTTTCAGTTCAGTTCAATTAGACCATGTGTTAAGAATTTAACGAATTTATGGGATGAAAAAAGCAAATGCAAGTGACATACTTACTCGCATACTTAATGTTGGATCTTGTCATTCTGGGTAATTTCTGCCTTTTAACTTAACATTTAGAGACTAATAGAGACTAAATAGCACACTTACAAAACAGAATTCCACACCAATTACAATGACATTAGTCCCAATGTGAAATCACCTAATCTCTCTACCACTTTTAAAACACATTCATGTCTGTTGTAGCAGGGGCATTTATTTCAATGGAAACACCACATGCTAATATATCCATCTCTTTTCAGCTTCACATTGGAGGAAAAGCAGGGATGAACTGTAAGATGTCAAGCTGCTGAAGCAAACTATGTTCTCCAGTCGATACTGTGACTCCCATAAAGGCTGAGCCCAAACTGCAGTGAGGACAAACGAAAGGACAACCAGCAGGATAAACCCAGCTGAATGAAACGGATGACTGGATTGACTGCCGAAAAACAGCTGATTTGGTCTAGACAGGAACATCGTGGTTGTCTCTGTGGACAAGAGATGGACCGCTGCAACTCAGCACTTCACAGACATTAGGTGACACCAAAGTTGAGCCTCCTAGTGTCATCTAAATACCGTTTGCAAAAGACAATACTTAATAACTGCAAGTTTTAAATGCATTCCAGCAAAACCTTTGGACACAGTGTATGTGGCCTGTGGGTTCAAGAATTACATCATAAACTAATTTTGTACAATATATTATCTGGTAAGTTATCTATTTATGATACACTGAAGCTGTAGCAAAATTAGTTGTCTAACTTAAAACAAGGTCATAATTGGCAAGGCTGTCTTCACTGTCCAGTTAAGAAACATACATTTTCATGGCACAAACTCATCAGTGTAATATCAGCTGAACCAAAGGGCTGTGCATTCAAATATTCAATTGGTGTCTGATTGCAGTCTTAATCTTTCTCTTTTGAGCCTGTATCCGCACAATATTTATCTTGCTTGAATTCGCTTGTCTGTGTTAAGTTATACCAGAGGTATTGAAAATGTTCAGGACACCTCAAACATCATTCCTGTCAACAGTTAACCGTCAGTTTAAACCATTGTGCAAGGTACAGTATTATAAACTGCAGGTAACCCATGGTATTGGTAAACTCCTGCCCTATTTTCCGTCCTTGGTAAGCAGCCATGTTATAAGCTCAATGACAACTGAAATGTCTGAAATGTCCAACTATAGAAAAAATAATTATCTTGATGGAGGAAACAACAACAAGGCATCCCATATAACAAATTAATGAATGAGTTAGAGGCAAAATCTCATTCATTTTTTTTTATATCAGGACATCTTTGCATTATTGATGACACAAAAGCATCTGTTGCATTGAGAAATAAAATATTATAAAACTGTGTAACATTGGTCACGTGTGCTCTGTGTGCAAACCCACAACTATGGGAATTTGGTAAATCATGTAAAAAATGTAATGTAAATGTGATCCACATCAGATTCCAGCATGGACAGGTCACAGTCCTGAAGCGACCCGCATGATGAATGAAAAAAGTCACATGAATTCTGATATGACTGTTGACATTGAGGACACATCACATTGCAAGGAATCAGATTTGGTTTCACTTTGGCCTGCAGTCAGAACGCAGCCTAAAACAATGGGCACATTAATCCAGATAGATGATTTTCAAAATAATAAATGTCAATGCTATACATTCAGGGACCTTTCTTTGTACCAACTGCAATAAAAATGGCCTTTATCCGCCTCCATCCACCATATTCATTTATTATAGCATTATCACCTTCTACAACAGTGGTTTCCAAACTTGTCTACTTGTGACCTCTTGTCACAGGTTATGACTTCATCAGTTGTGATCAGTTTGAATAAAGACTTATTTTTCATTCTCAGTTTGTTTCATTTTAAGCAATTTTAGAGGCCTAAAGCGGTAGGAAGTTTTCAATATATCAAAGAAAAAGAGAAATGTTGACAAAAGTCCAAACAAAAGAAACTGTATAACTGTTATTTTGTATAACTTCTCTAATCATCTTCTCATCTTTATCTTCTTGTGAAGGGAACCATTACTCCGCGATCAGTGTAAAACTACTGTTGATGTGAGCTCAACAGACAATTCTAAACAACTTTCTTATTTTATCTTTTACTTTAAGTAATCCTGCGCCCACCGACACCACTGTCATCTCTTGCTCTGCTACTGTTTGAGCAGGCGTCATGTTATGGGAGGAATTTACAAGATTTGGGACGTTAATAAATGAATAAAGAGCATAACCAGTGACATTTTAAAACAAACTGTGACCAGCATTAACTCTGCCAGAAAGGGCTCTGTGACTACTGAAATATCATCCAGCAAAATGCCACAACAACTCGGAGTGGAAACAATTATCCTGTCTGAGAGTTAAGCCACATTCTTATCAGCTGATTCCTGTTACAATGTTTTCCATGAGCAGGATTAGATTGAAATCAATTTTGAACTTCTCGTTTTTTAAAAGAAAATATAAGCCCCCACAAGTAAGATTAAGATATTAATACAGGAAACAAAAAGTGATACATCATATACAAATGATATTCACCATTATAGGACCATCATAAAAATATGTAAAATACTACACATTTAGACCATAAACTTGCTTTGTTGAAGGAGCAGCTCTTCCACATAGGAAAACTGTCAACTCCAAATGACTGAATACTAATTACATGCCATGTTGTGTTACTGGAATCAGTTTGAATGGATGTGTTTGCAGTGTTTTCTATTAATCATGACAAAGGCCCACTGATCAAACACTGGTGTTTGATTAAATGTTTTTAATCGTGCTTTGAAGTGTGCAGCATTTTTTTTCCCTTTCTCTCTCTTCTCTTGATTGCACATGCAAATCACTTGACTTTAACTTTGTGTGCCTGTGCCAACAACTTGTCCCCAGCCAGTGTTGCAGCACAGATTTCTTCAGGACAGACAGATATTTTCAGAACACAGAGCGGCATTTCAGGCAAAAAAAAAGTCCTTTGACGCCAAATTTAGACTCCAGAGCTCACCAGTTAGGAGCCCTTAAATTCAATTGAGTCAACAGCCCCTTAATTAGATAAAGTATCGTAGATTCATGCTGGTAACATGGTAGCATGACTGAGGCACATACCAGTGAGTCCAGCTTTAAACCTCTGCCATGGCACCCTCTTTCTTACTACTCACATTAATAGTAACATCATTATATGACAGTATAGTAGATATAGAAATCCAGAGATGTATTTTTCTCAAATGACCACAAGCTCGGAGTCGTATGGCTTCATTATAGGAATTTCTGCTGCTACCTTTGTACCTGTGTTTCTGGGTCCATTTTGTTGTTAGACTGTATATTACTGTCACAGACAACTGTGCAAACAGATAGCATACCACAGATATTTCATCTGCAGTAACAATGTGGTTTGATGGGAGGAAAACAAGCACAGCAATTGACAAAGTCAAAGGTAAATATTTTGCTGTCAGTCCATCAGGATGAAATGAAAGTCTCTTTTCTCCACTCTCGCCATCACGTACTGGCATTTAACAAAGGAAAGATATCACAGAAAGGGGAACGATACGATTCACTCTGCTGACAGCTGAACACAAGGCATGCATTACATTTTGGGAAAGGATGTATCTCTCCCTGTTTGTTGCCTCACAATCCACTGACACACATCATGATGCTGCTGCTAAAGTAGCTGATTCTCTGTAAGCTGTCATGTATTCAGAGACATAACACAGAGTACAGTGGATGAGGCAGACTGAGGCTGAGTGTGTCTCTTCAATTAGCTACTCTTTTTGAAATTGCTCCTTGGGAGCTAATTGACAAGACTAACTGCCTGGTTTGGCTATCTACTGCCATCTAGTGCAGTTATTTGTGATTACCAGCTTCATACAGTGAGTGATTTTCTCTTCCATAAAAAGGCTGCAAGATTTTGTACTTCTCAATTCCCTGCGTATCCTTTATCCCCATTAAATGACTACTCTTCAGCTTTCGGCCCAGAAGAAAAAGCTCTCTTTCAATAGATCCACAAGCACACTACAGTGCGTGTGCATCAGACATACTTTGTTATAACTCGAAGTGCACTGTGGGGAAGCTCAGTGTCGTTTCTTCACTGGTACAGGCACATACGGAGTACCACTCTCCCACCACTTAGACAGAAGCGAATTCAGATTACAGATCGAGAGATAAAAAGCTAAAAAGCCATGGTTTAAAAAAATATCTGTTCTGTACAAACGTGGCTCAGTGGAAGCCATGAAAGCAAGAAACCCACAGCAAAATATGTGCAGCTCATACTGGTTCTACACAGACTGTGTGAACCCGCAACACTACAATTAAATGCTGCCTCTTGACTCCCTGTCGAAGCCATTGTGACTTAATTAATTTAAGGAGGCTACAGCCTTCAGAAAAACCCACCAAAACAAACCTTAATGAGCAGCAGAGGCTCCTCTTTGAACTGACTTGTTGTCAGCGTTACATGCTGAAAAAAAATACACTTGGCTCTTGTCTCGTCTTCACCAAAAACTGATCCTTTCATTTTCCAGACAGGCTAGCCTATTTGAATGATAGCACACTGCGACGGCAAAAGTAAACTCACCAGGGCCACAAATTAGCTGGTGACAAACTCATCCATCACCGTTGCCGGGGTGACAGTATCCGAATACGTGCCGTAGCCCTGGCAACAGATGCTAAACAAAAGGCTCGCGGCTAGCGGGCTGATTTGCCTGGCTGGGTTCAAGATGAGCCGACCTGGCAGCAGACTTGATGAAAGAGGGGTCAACAAAAATGGAGACCCAGGAGGTAGTCTCTCCGTGCTCACCGACACTTTGACCGCAGCAGTGAGACCTGAAACAAGGCTATTGTCTGCCTTCAAGAGAGACATTGACGTCAGGAAGGTTTACCTGGCAGGGAGAGGTGAGTCCGGTCATCTGCGTTTATCTATCCCGGTTCTCTAGAGTTTCAACCCGGAAACCAGAGCAGAGCAGTACGGGTTTCCCCCGCTCCCCATTTGCATTAATTAATTCAATTAATTATGAATGTACGCTCTGTTTTCTAATGTTAGACAGCTGATCTTACTCAGACATAATGTTGTGTAATGTTAGTCAAAAACACATTCTTTGAGATGGCATTCACCGCAGGCCTTTAAAAATCTGTAATATAGCATGAAAATGGTGTGCTTGCCTCAACCATGTAACTTGTACATGAGTAAGACGTTGCCTATGTGAGGCCCCATCAGCTTTCTGTCAGCATAATTGAATAGATGGCCCCCGTAGTCCATTTACATTGAATTTGAACAATTGAATTATTCGATTTAATTACTGACTCAGAGACATTTTGAATAAGATATTACTCCTTAATATCTTAATGGAGAGCTCACAGTGAACCAGAATTACAGTAAAATCAATAAATACAGGTAGTATTTAGTTCTGTCATAATAAAGTAGTTCCAGCTCCAGGATTTGCGTCGTTGGTTTGTGCATAACAGGGACAAAGTGAGGGGCATTCAGAAACCCTCTCACGGTCAGATAAGGGTTAGCCTTAATTACCTAATTTATTATCTTCTTAATGGTACAACTTTTTTTTTTAAATCTTTACCCTGACATCCAGCGCAAAAAACTATCTACTAAGACCACTTCTTAAGCATATTCCTTAAAGCATTACCACATCGGTTTAAACGTTTTACCTGATAGTTGGCTTGCTTGTTTCTGTGACATAATAACTACAAATCACTTTAATTAATTAATATTTCAGTGTGTAGGATTTAGTGGCATCTAGTGGTGTATTTGCAGTTATTTAAGAAATAGTTTATAGTATATTAATTCTATTTTTGGGTGGACTCAATTACCGTTCTTTTCCTTTCCAGTTTACTTTGATATTCTCAGGGGTTTTTTGCAGTTTGATACAGTGTTTTGTTGGATGATGGATTTGTTAACCTCTGTCTTTCGCAGAGTATTACAGCGAGGAAGGGAAGACCTTTGAACTGCGTCTTGTTGGAAAAATAAAGCAACAGCTAAGCGCTGATACCACTCTTCTTCCGGAGTATCCACCTTGTTTTGGTTTGGCAGAATTCAGCCAGCAAGCCACAGATGTTGCTTTGGGGAAGAGCTCTCGGGCTGTAATGGAGAACCGGGTAATCACAGCACAGACATAAATACCGTAACTGATTCTAGCCTATATACACCTCTGTTTTCACAGCAACAAGCACACAGAGATGAAGCAGTAGCCAGTACCTAACCATCCAATCAATCAGCACCGTCATTACCTGGTGGCCCTGTGCAGAAACCTCTAATTATTTTGGTATAGATTTACATCCAGCCTGTACTTCAGAAAAAATCAATAGATAATCACCTAAGTGTTTTAGCATTAGACATATTGATAATAAGACTCTGACCTTTGTTGCAGGTATTAGGTGTCCAGACTCCCGGTTTTACTGCTGCTGTTCGTCTTGGGGCAGAACTCTTGAAACACTGGTATGATGCCAGTGATGCTTGGTGCGGGCCCGTCTACCTTTCTTCCCCTTGTGATGGTAAATAAAAGCTCACTTCCTCTGAACGGAATTTAAAGATACAACCACAAGTGTGTTGTATAGATTCAGTTAGATTAGGCTCTTAAAACATAAGTTACACGCTGTACTTTGTAAAGATATATCACAAAACAAGATTCAAATCGGTGAGATGAAAAATGAATCGTGGTATCAAGGTGCAAAGACTTCAGTTTCCCTTTTGAAAAGAGAAGGTGTTTTTTCACAGTTTATAAACTACCTCAGAAATAAAGAGAAAATATATTTGGTAGATTTTTGTCTGAGAAATAACCTTTTTTAATCTCATTTTGTCAAAACAATTCTGAGAAAATCATATTGTGAATTGTATTGAATCGTGAGTTGAGTGTATTGTTACATCCCCACTCTGTACTGTGGTGATTGCAACTGTATGCGCTACTGATTTACTCCCATCATGTCATTAATAAGACTAGAGGATGACTCACATGTACACCACAAATACCATGTTAAATGATTGGTAAACAATGAAAGTACCAGAGGTAAATAAGTCGGCATTACTGCTGAGGCGTCTCCCTACAATATACAGTACGTGCATTTGAATGCACAATTAGTTTATTTTTACCTTTACTTCCTATGTATGTTACTTTTAACAACGATGTCTATGAAATCAGAAAGAACCTGTGCAGTTATCTTCTGCTCCAACAGTAGAGGCAAAAAATAAATAAATAAATGTGAAACACACAAGCCTTTACTTCATGAAGAGTGGCCCTGTCACTTACCATAGATTCCCTGGGGTGTGCAGAGGAGCATGGCGTCCTCTGAAAAAACACAAATTAGTGTTTATTAATTTTTTCTTAATGTAACTCGTCTGTGGCAACTAAATGCAACTATTGATTGCTTATGCTATGATTATGCTATTTCTCCATTCTTTATTTCTGGCTATTGTCTTAACAAAATTTCTAATATGTAAAATTTGAATAACGCTAAGAATCCCATCCATATAAGGTACCCTCATCAGTAACGGGGGGCCACGGCCTAACGTTGTCAATCCAATTACCCATGTTGTCACTCAGCCGACACAACAACTTGCCACCGCAGTAATGGCAAACCCCACAAAGTGGTCGCCTGATTCATGTATATCAACATAAGTTACTGTGACACACACATAAGAAGATTTCTGAGGGAAAGAAGTTGACCTTACAGTGAAAACAAAATGTGAACATGTGGTCGATCATATGGAGGCAAACATGTCAGACATTTATTGAGAGGATTTTACACCTTTCAGTATAGTCACTGCTTTACACAGGATTTATTGGGAGTTGGAGATTTTAATGTGTCTTGCACCTTGACATATTAAATTGAAGTGCCGCACAGAAGTAAGGGCTGAGAAATGTGTTATGTGCATTGCTTGAAAATGTACAGATAAGATGTGCATGTGGTGTGAAGTATTCATTTTCAAATTTATATTATGATCATTGAAAATATACAGGTTGTGATAGAGACAGGAGTGGAAAACTGCAAAAATACTACTAAAATCTAGCCAAGACTAGAGGTCAGAAGGTTGGAAAGTTCAATTATTTCCAAACAAAATAGTATTCACACTCACAGCGGTGGTTCCACACTGTAATTACATCCTGGGGCTTACAGCAGGATTCACCTTGTGGAGTTTGTACTGCTGCTGGTATCTAATGTTTTGTCCTGATCTTCCCTGCAGACTCATTGGCTGGTATCTTCCAGGCAGCAGGGATCCAAGATATCCGTGAGTATTATTACTGGGATGACAAGCAGCGGGGTGTTTGTTTGGAGAAGCTTCTGGAGGATCTGGACAGGGCTCCGGAGCGAAGTGTTGTTGTTCTCTCAGCATCTGCCCACTACCCAACTGGAGCAGACCTCTCTCAGAATCAATGGGCTGTGATTACACAACTCGTCATGGTAACTGACGTGTACATTTAAGCTCTAAGCAGAGGCTAAAATGATCTTCTATCAGACAAGTAGTTCTTCACTCCTACTTAGATCATCATTTGCTGTTCTGGCACTGTTTCAACAGAGGCGTAGGCTTTTTCCTTTCCTCTTGCTGCCTGCCCAGGCACTCTGCAATGGAGATTTAGAGCGGGATGCCTGGCCTGTACAATACTGTGCATCACAGGGGATGGAACTCCTCTGTGCTCAGTCGTTCTCCCACTGCTTTGGACTATATGGTGAGAAAGTGATGTTTAGAATATCTCTCATTCCATGGATTTATGTGTGTCACTCCTATGGCCAAGGGACTCCACGTGTCAAAAATGAGCTCGTAGTGCAAATGAAAACAGACAAGAGCATATGTATTCATGTCTTACCTATTGTTCGCCAGGAAATACACTCATAGTGTTTAGGCAGTCCCAGTCACGCTTTGTGTTGCCCTCCAATTTTACTCTCTTTCTCCTGAGCTTTCTATTAGCAGGTAACTCATTGTGAGGCAGATCAGCCTGTGTCTTGTTTCTGTATGACCTGGTGAATATTCTTGCCCAGAACTGGGTGGCGAATTTTATTTTCCAATTCCAAAGTGTCCCTCTTCGATTTTATTTTCAATACCAAAAACTTAAGAGAGAGTGAGAACATGGTGTTTCTTTACATCAGACTCATCTTCTTCCTCTCTCTCGCCAGGTGAGGCTGTCGGACATCTCTTGTGCGTTTTGAAGCAGAACTCCCACCGGTTATCTTTGCAGTCTAAAGCTGACAAAATAGTCCGATCCCTGTGGGCCCAGCCATCTGTCGGAGGAGCACATGTTGTTGCCTCAGTGCTCAGTAACCCAGCCCATCTTGTTGAATGGTGAGTCACGTTCCACTGGAATGAATAATCTGGTGTTTGTTTGGACGGCCACGTTGCTACTGTATCTGTAGATGTCCGTAGTGATGTTTACCTGGCAGCGTCCTAAGCATTTAACGGCACTAGTGACAAAATCTTAATTTCCACAATGCACCCTTGATTTTTTGCTGATATTGAATTATATAATAATAGATATTATTTCCTAAATGTTGTCCCTTGTCTTTCCCAGGCAGAGAGAAGTAAAGTGCATTGTGGAGAGATGTATGCTGATCAGAGACATTTTGAGAGAAAGGCTGAGACTTTTGGGAACTCCAGGCTGCTGGGATCACCTGACTCAACAAGGTGGACTCTTCTGTTGTACAGGCTTGAATGGTGAGTACTAAATAGTTGCTGCCATAATTGGACTTTTATAGAGTTATTTTTCAAATATAAAGAAAATTATTCACTGCACAAAACAAAACACTGTCTGGTATTCATTTTCTCAGCTCTCTCTTTTCTTTGCTCTTTTGTATAATCCTTTGAAGTAGATAAATGCAGCTTACAGTACATTGTTATAGATGAATTGCTTTCAACCAAGGCCTGACATCTTGGCTCTGTTTGAATATAATATGCAGTTATTGCACATATGCAGCAGTCATTTAAAGGATTTGCAGGGAATGTTTTTTTTAATTTGATTATTTAACAATGGAAATGACTGTTAATGTTTAATACATTTATTTACATGGACTGCCAGAATGTTTTTCCAGATCAAGATTTTGTTTAAATACTCTCTTTTTTGTCTACTTTAGGTCAGCAGGTAGAATTTCTGTCGAACAGGAGACACGTGTACCTGCTCCCCGGTGGCTGTCTAAATGTCAGTGCAATCAACGGTGGTAACTTGGACTATATAACCGAGTCTATCCATCTGGCTCTGACCACTTCACTCTGACCATGTGGCTTTTGATCATTACATCAGTGTCCTAGTGGCTTTTCAGCCTGACTGAACTTTTCATTAGTTGAAAGTCTCAATTTCAAGTTCATCATTAGTGTTTCAGCTCCAGCTATTGCACAGTAAATGCTGTTAATCATACAGAAAATATGTATGGAATTATAGGATTGCTTTTTGAATTGCTGCTGACTTTTCTTGACAGAGGTCCAAATATTAGTAATTGTAACACAGACCAGACTGTTATGACCCTTCAATTGAGAAGACATGAGTATGAAATGAGTTCAGGTGTCCTGTGTGTGGTATATATAGAGTGATGAAAGAAGTACTCAGATATTTTACTTAGTAAAAGTAGCAATACCACAGTACAAGTAAAAGTGTTGATTCAGAAAACAATATTAGCATTAAAATACAGTTACATTTTCATAATAAAAAGTCTCGATATGCAGAATGGCCCATTTTAGAATAATGTATATCATATTATTGGATTATGATTATTGATGGTGATTAATGTACGCATTGCTTTAATGTTGCAGCTGGTAAAGGTGGGGATACATTTAATTAATTTATGTACAGCTGGATAGCTTCTGAATATGAATAAAGTATTGTCTTAGCCTATAATAATACATCATAATTTATTTGTTGAATATATTTTGTATAGAATTACAGTAAAGTAGCAGAAAATTTAACTTTTCAAGTAAAGTACCGGAAAATTGTACTTAGGATAGAAATGTAAATGTATTTTCTTATTTTCCACCACTGGCTATATCAAGTAAAACAATACGAGTGTAGTAGATTCTTTTGTTACAGTTTTGTTCCTTTATCTGCTGTAAAACACTGCCAGTCACTTAAAGGCTTACAGGATAAACTGTATATTTTATATTTATACATGATATTGTATTGGTGTTTATTTGTTGTAGTCTGCCAGAACCAGGAAATAAGTCTATAAGACTAAAGCCAGCAGCTCGTTAGATTAACTCATTAGCTTAGCTCTGTCCAAATATAACAAAACCCATCTAAAATGACCCCCAGAAGCTCAAAATCAACATCAGATTTGGTTATGTGTGTGACACAGTGACAAGCCACAAATTGTTTTGTTTTTTTTAAGCTTCAGGTTTTGTAGTGATTAAACAAATAAGATATATATATATATGATGTCGAACTTTTATTTTCCATATGTAGTAGACATAAATGTGAGGCTAATGTCATGAATGGGTGTGAGTAACTTTAAGTTAATCTGAGTTGAGTGAATTGCTCTAGATGGAATTTTGTAAAATCAAAAAAAGGTATAGCATCTTTTAGTGGCTATATACTGTGCTTTGTTAGTAACAACATGTTCTGTACAGTAAGTGATGACCAGACTCACCAGCACTCTTTAAAACAAGGTGAATCAAGAGCTTAATGGTCCAAGGGTAACCCTTAGAGGGATCAGCCTTAGACAAGCCGCCATATATTGCTTACTGCATCCAAAGCAAAAGGGTGCTCTCTTTCTTGCTTCAAGGATTCCTTTCAGTGTCTGTAAACATCAGTCAGAAACATAAATCTCTCTATTGAAAACTATGTACGCAGAAGATCTCAGCTGCATTTATAATTCATGTGTTTGCTGAATAAACAAGCTTGACTTTAAACGTTGTCACAACGTCTGTGCTTCTTTTGAGTCTGACGCATTCTTGCGCAAACATACGTTATATGTATTTAAATCATTTTACTTAATAATATCCAGATGCTGCAGGTTTAAGAGATTTGGTGCTTCCCACACGTTGACCTTTATTCTGAAAAGAGTTTGTATTGGATTATTTGGGGGTTTTACTGTCACATGGTCCAAATATCGTTTTAAGTAAAATTTCCTCTCCACTAAAACATTTCCAACTGATGTGAATGTATTTTACAGCAAATGATTGTTCATCTGAGAAACATCAATGAGTAATCCTCTCCTCTATTGTCCTCTGTGGTCGTAATAACATTAGCGAAACAACATTTTTGATTATTTTCTTATTTTGTTAAAGAAAAACATATTTTTTTGGAAAACACTCAGCTTTTATCTAGCAAATTTTATATCCACAGGAGCCCTTTTTTCATTTGTGAGTTATTCCACTATTGTTACTATTTGCGATTTAGTTCTGAGAAACAGGTTGCAACAAGGTATTTAATGGAGGCAGCGTGCCCACTCTTTTCATTTCAGTGACCTCGGGTGAACAGCATGGATAATCATCCGCATCCACTGTCATACAGAGTCGGAGCCATTAGACGCTGTCTAGAGCCCTTTGATTTGCATCTGAGCATGCTTACATGTACGCAGGGTTGCAGATACTCACTCATATCACAGGTTTCAAGTCTGGGGTAAGTTGTTTACATACATACTAACGTTTCACATGCAGTTATTGCAGCATACATGAATGAAGAGGATTGTCTACAAATATTACCATGGAAACTGAACTTACACAGTCTGCAAAAAACCAAGCGTTAATGGAAGAAATGTGTCACTTGGTTTCCAGTTAATGTTTCAGCATTTCCTGTGAATCATGTTCAAATTCATGACAAACAAGACTGGACCACTACTATAGTTAACCCTATAAAGTTACGAGTGTATCATATTTGATACATGAGTTGTTGACCTCTACATCATCAGTGTGAATGTGTATACAATCACATACATGCAGTACCTGGATAATCCACTAGGAATCAGTAATTTATGCACCAGAGGGCCTTCACTTGAGACATCCAAAATGGCTGCCGTCAATCAGTGACCCACATTTTTCAAGAATATTTTTGTCAATTTTGAAAAAGTTAAGGTAAGTAAAACTTTCAAATTGTTACTGAAACTTCAAAAGGAATATTTAATGGATTGATGTAATGTAAAATTTATTAATATTTCATAACTTAATTTATAGTAAAACCATGTTGAAAATGTGTGTATCAAATTCGATACAGCAGGTATTAAAGGTAACTTTTTTGAAAATCTGTCAATTGCCATTTTATTGCATTTCATACATTATGCATTAATTTTCTCATTTAGGTACACTAATTAAAGGTTTAACTTACATAATTATGTATATTTAGAGTACAATTGAACAAAAATTTTTGAACAAAAATTTTATTTTGTATGTTTGAGGAAAAAAAGGAAACTCAAAGTTTAATGAATTAAAAAATGTTTTATATGTTTTGTTTGTTTAAGATAAAGAAACTGAGCAACAAATTGCACAAAAATACCAGACCGAGCAAAAATTATATGCTGGTTCCACTGGTGGATTTGTCATTGCTGCGTGAAAACTTCATTTCAGCAGATGTATGATGTTGTGTTATATGGAAAAAATTTATTTTGTATGTTTGAGGAAAATTTTAAAATGAAACTCAAAGTTTTAATAGGTTAAAACTGTTTTTATGTATTATTTTTTATGGGTTTTTTTCAAATTTCATAAAGACCTGCTGTATCAAATATGATACAAATTAGAATTCATATATGCAAATTGATATTTAATTTTTTTATTATTATTTGTCAGCAGGTTCAATAAACACTGCAGTAGAAAAAAAATAGAATTTTCTGGCAATTGTTTCATGGTTCAGGCTTTATAGGGTTAATACTCAAGTATCCCAAAAATATACAAATATGCCAATATGAATAGTGTGAACCATAGAGACAACGTTGTACATACTAACATTTCAAACACTAGGTTTAGGCATTTTATCAGATATAAATATTGAAAACATATTAAAATGCTCCTAAATATATGAATTAGACACTATTGCTCAAGATTTGGCCATGACATTTCTTATACCACATTCAAATGGAATTTATGAATGGTAAGTCTTGTAATGAGCCTTTGCAATCGCTAAAAATAAATGCATGTAAATGGGTGAATGTGTCATGGCCACTTCTAGTTTTTCCTACACACTCCACAGCCTGTTCTCATTCCCATGCCGTCAAATACAGAAGCATGTTAGATTCCACTAAATCCTACACACTGGTCCTTTAATAAAGTCATCAGTTACAACTTTTAACAACTAAACATTTAACAAAGAGCCAAAGTGGTAGCCTACCCATTTTAGTTGTCTGTCCATCTATTATCAGGTAAAAATTTATATTTTAACTACTTACAAAACTGATGACTTTCCTTTTTTGTTTAGCATGTAAATTACTACTGTTTTGTTTTTGACAAGCAGTGACATGCTGTTGAAGGAGTAATCACATGCCAGATAGCTGTCTAAATAATGTTCATTGAACTTTGTCTTGTCTGAGCAGGTCCCTGAATTGTCACAGCAAGATGCCAATCAAGGTAGAAAATCTAGGACACATGGAGTACCACTGAGTGGACGCAGAGCAGCTTTTTTATTGTCACAGGAGTAAATGATTACAGGTGTTCATCCGCTGGCCTCGTCCTCCAGTGTAGAAAAGGATGTGCTGATTGACAGGGATCAGTGATTTGTCCCATACTGAGGTAACTAACGCTATTACCATCAAACAAAGCAAGCCTACAACACAATCTGAATGACAATTATTGTCAAATTATTCCCCAACATAATAATTCATTGCAAGTGAAGCAAAAATAACACAGGAAATATCTGGCCTTGCAATAATAGTAATTATAAAGTGCTTCGTTCATGCGTGCCGTTTGACTGAACTATGAAAAGCTTTTACAAAAGAGCCTCTTCTGATTCAGGGATAGGCCTATGAGATTTTGAATCTTTAATTAAGCTTTATTCAGGTTTGAGCTTCGGGTTCTCTTCTGTAATATATTTACTATCTGTAAATTGGATTTGTTGTCCGTCTAATTCTATTTATCTAGCAGCTTAGTCATGAGTCTGAAAGGTCATGTTTATGACGGTGAACTGGATAACTGTAAAGGTTTTTAGCAAGTTCTCAGAAATGATGTTACAGTGTCGCTCTAAAATATTAAACAGTTTGCATTAGGTTGTAAAGCATTATCCTCACTGTGTAATTTTTTATTCAGATGTAACCTGATTCTGACCCGCTCAGGCTGTGAGTGTACCAGTAAATAACAGCTGTGCTTGAGGGACATATTTCTACAGCTTTGGCCATCATTCCTATCAGTTATAATAACATTTAAAGGAGTCCAGGGGGGCAATTGAGCGTCTTTTGTAAAAAAAATCACTAGGTTGACAATATTATCCAGTCCGACTATAACTAAATAGCTTTTTTATCTGCTTCAAGCATACGTTTCTGTCTGTAAATCACTTGTCTTGTGTTTTTCTTTGAGAAAAAAATCAGAAACCAAATAATTGGTTTTCTAATGGCGCCCCCTAGTTTTGAATTGAGGGACACCCCTCCAGCCAGCTGAGACAAAAATGCTTGTACTTTACTAATACCCTTTTCATATTAAATAATTATGAACAATACATAGTGTCATTAGCTTTGACTGCAAAAAGGGACTAAATGTAATTTTAGTTGTACTTGAATGCATTACAGCCAGAAGCTAATGCCAGCTTGCTAACGCTCAATCGACACATCCATCTAGTAGGCTAGATGTGTGTTTCACTGGTCATTAAAGCCATAATTTATGGGCATCATGAAATTCTATAGAAAGATTTCAAGTGTTTTAACCTGGGGGTCGGGTTGGGGGAAAAAAAAAAAGGTTGGGGAGATTGCAACTAACTAAAAACTGCTTGCTTTTGTATTTGACATCCTGGGAATGGGCTGTGAAGTGTGTAGGAGAAACTACAGTGGATGCAAAACTCGGAAAAAAACAGTGTTTGGTTTGCTCGTTCTGGGCTATTGTAGAAACATCACTGACTCCATGGAAGGTCACCCGTAGTGGCTGTAGATAAAAACCACAGATTTGAAGGTAACAAAACCATGATTCCTATATTCTGGTGAATATACACTAATGAAAACATACCTATGAATAGAGGCTCAACTCAGCCACCTTTGTGTATTGACAGCAGTGTGTGTTAACCATAGGATGTGATGATCCTCTCAAATGGATTGAGTCAAAATAATATGATTGGTCAAACTTAGAGACTATATCACAAGACAGATTCTCATACATTTAGCAATAATCCAATAGTTACAAGTTATCCACAGGCTTTGCAGGTTAAATCATTGGACTCCGGTGTAAAGCTGCCTGCAGGTAGAAATCCAACATGGTGACTCATACGATCTTTGTCTTTATTGTTCAGAGTTTTGCCTTGAAAAAATGCTCTCTGAATGCTGGGAACACTGTCTGGCAAATCATAAGGCTACAGTGTTGTTGCGCTGAACAGCCTAGTGTCTATCACTTAACAGAGGGACGGTAAGTTCTAGTTTGTGACCATGATTCCTCTGACACAGTCTTTGTCACTGTGAGTTTAGCTGTCTTATGTTTGGACAGATGTAGCTCCAGAGGTAGAGTGTGTCATCCACTTATGACAAGGTTGGCAGTTTGATCCTTAAGCAAGATACTGAACCCAAAATTGCCCCTGATGCTGTGCCATCTGTGTGTGAATGTGAGTGTGGTGCAGTTTCTGAATCGGATAAGCAGTTGGCACCTTGCGTGGCAGCCACTGCCATCAGTGTGTAAATGGGTGAATGTGACATGTTGTGTAAAGTGTTTGAGTGGAACTAGACTAGAAAAGCGT